GACGACGTTGGCCTGCACAGATAATTTTTTGTCATAAGCTGTAGTATCCATTGCGAACTTCAAATACCAAATTTGAAACAATTCTGGTGAATAATATCGCTAAAATCATCTAAATACCGAATATCGGGAGGTGCGGTTATATGGAGGCTATACGAAGACATTGACCTACATGGCCCATTTTCTGTCATAGACTGTAATACCCATTACGAACTCTAATTACGAAATTTGAAACAATACCGGTGAATTATGTCGTTAAATTCATCAAAATACCGAATATCGGGAGGAACTGTTATATGAGGGCTATACGACGACGTTGGCCTGCACAGACAATTTTTTGTCATAAGCTGTAGTATCAATTGCGAACTTCAAATACCAAATTTGAAACTATTCCAGTTAATAATGTCGTTAAAATCATCAAAATACCGAATATAGGGGTGGGGAGGGGGTGGGGGTGACCGTTGTATGAGGGCTATACGACGACGTTGACCTGCACAGACAATTTTTTGTCATAGGCAGTAATATCTATTACGAACTAAAATACCAAATTTGAAACAATTCTGTTGAATAATATCGCTAACATCATCCAAAAACCGAATATCGGGAGGTGTCGTTATATGGGGGCTATACGAAGACGTAGACCTGCGTTGACAATTTTCGGTGACAGGCTGTATTACTAATTAGGTACTTCAACCACGAAATTTTAAACAATTCCGGTGAATAATGTAGTTGAAATTATCAAAAATACCGAATATTGGGAGGTACCGTTATATGGGGGCTATACGAATACGTGGACCTACATGACCCATTTTGCAATACCAATAGTCCTGCAGACATAATACACATTTGAGTAAAATTTTATCAACCTACTTCAATTTGTTCGGAGGCTAGAGTTATTTCTACAGAAGGGCAGACAGACAGACGGGCGGGCATCGCTAAATCGCCATAGAATTTTATGCTGATCAAGAATATATATACTTTGTGGGATCTGAAATTTATATATCGAGGTTTCACAAACGGAATGACAAACTTAATATACCCTCCATACTATGGTGGAGAGTATAAAAAATCTAATAAAAAAATATAGTCTGCAGATCGATATTCGAATACCCTACTCAATTATGATCAAAATGCCAATTTCAGGTGAAGTTTTAGAGAATATGACAAGAATAATTGAAATAATATTTCCTAATGGAATTTTCAAATTTCGATAAGCAAATATCCTGTATTGATGGACTACTTTTCATAGCGTCATTGCTTATTGCTGGTTTTCGTCTAATAACGTTGAAGCCTAACACAGAAAATTTTGATTTGAATTTTTGTATTTTGGAAGATTGGAGCCAAAGAATCTCAATCCTTGCTCTCCCCATCTATTGAAACCTGACTCAATGTTATCGAAAATGTCGTTCGAAAATCGAATGTCAAATTTTATTTTCTCCTCTTCTAAAAATCTGCTTTTTTTTCAAAAATTTAGAATTTCATTAAATATTTATATATTTGTACAGCCTCATATTTGGCCATTAGAATGGCAATAAATGTCCACTTCGATTGCTGTGATTGATTTATTTACACAACATTTTCGCAACCATCACATTTGTTGAGAGAGACAGAGAGCGAGGATGTATGGTATTTTTGAGAGAAACGTTGCTGGGATTGTAACGTTGCAACGTTAAGGTAATAAAACTACAATGGATGACAACAGAAAAAATTGTGTTTGACAAAGCCTAATAATTACCTAGTTATCCCGCAGTGGCTAAAACAAATCGTTAAGCACAATTAACAAAAAAATCTACAATATTGCAAAAGGTAAATAAATATTGGAAGGAAAGATTTCAAGACGTTTGGGCCTTTCACCATCTCATGGCAGAAGATAAATTTTAAAATTGAAAATTCAAACAAAATTAAAAATGTTAATATATTCTCGACTCTGATGCTGTTAAAAATATAATTCTTAGAATAAAAGGTTTCTAAAAGAGTCCTCAAAAAATTATTCTCCTTTTTCATAGTCCTTTTAAAAAAAATCTCCTCTAAATGTTCCAATCTTCACTTCGAATTTTCTCCCTGTGTATTTGAATGCCATACCTCATCCGCACCTTATATTGCCAGAGTCATAGTGCAATAAAATATTCAATTGCTTCATGTTTGAATACTCAAAGGAATTCTATTTCGTTTGCTTTTTATGCCGCCTTAATGGATCCCTAATTTAGATGACGTTAGGATTCGGTGTTTCACTGATTCGAAAATTGCATTTTGCCCAAAAATGTAATAATTAGTAATTAGCACTTATTTTATAAGGTAAATTCAGTCGACATTCCGACATTTATGTATAGATATGAGCATTGTTGTTTTTTAAATTTTTAATACGGACGTCAATAAATTTTTGTAGGAAATTTAATTATGAATCGACTTGTTCCCAAGAGGTTGTTACAACAAAATAACAACATACATGCATGAGGTCAACCCAGATATCAAGTAATACAAAATAAATTCCAAATATTAGGTGGCGCCCAACTGTTCCACAGGGTTGTCCTGGATTTTGAAGAACATTCTTTGAAGCAAAAATCAGGAGTTTTATAGGGGATTTTTATTTTTTTTAATTAGGAAAGAGTAAAACAAGAATTTTAAAGGATATATTTTTCAGGGAAGAAAATACCAACAAACAATAATCGATTTTTTACAAAAAGCCACGAAGAGCTAAAAAGTGGATTTTCAAGAGAAACTTTTAAGAACCAAAAATGCCTGAAGCGTGGATTAAAAAAATAATTTTTAAGGATCAAAAATACCTCAAACAAGAATATTTTTTAAGGAACAACAATGTGGATTTAAAAAAAATTAAGGACCAAAAATGGGGATATTCAAAAAAATATTATTCGAGGACTAAAAACGCCTTAACCGCAAATTATTAAAGAATAATTTTCAAAGAACCAAAAATGCCTCAAACGTGGATTTCTGAAAAATTATTTTTGAAGGACCAAAAATGCCTAAAACGTGGATTTTTAGAGAATAACTTTTTAATGGATTTTTCAAGGACCAAAAACGCCTCAAACGAGGGTTTTAAGAAATATTTCTCAAGGGCCAAAAACGTGGATTTTAAAAAAAATATTATTCAAGGACCAAAAACGCCTTAACCGCGAATTTTTAAGGAATATTCTTCAAAGAACCAAGAAGGCCTCAAACGTGGATTTTTAAAAAATAATTTTCAAGGACCAAAAATGCCTCAAACGTGGATTTTTAAAAAAAATAATTTTTAAGGACCTAAAATGCCTCAAACGTGAATTTTTAAAAAATAATTTTTAAGGACCTAAAATGCCTCAAACGTGAATTTTTAAAAAATAATTTTCAGGGATGAAACTACTCCTGAAACGTGGGTTTTTAAAAAAATTAATTTCAAGGATTTAAAAAAATCAAGGATCAAACAACTCCTCAAACTTCGATTTTTAAAAACAATTTTTTAAGGACCAAAAATGTCTCAAACTTCGATTTTTAAAAACAATTTTTTAAGGACCAAAAATGTCTCAAACGTGGATTTTTAAAAAATTAATTTCAAGGATGAAACAACTCCTCAAACGTGGATTTTTAAAAACAATTTTTTAAGGACCAAAAATGTTTCAAACGTTGCTTTCTAAAAACAAGTTTTTTAAGGACCAAAAATGTCTCAAACTTGGTTTTTAAAAAACTAATTTTCAAGGACCAAACAAACGTGCATTTTTAAAAAATAATTTTCAAGGATGAAACAGCTCCTCAAACGCGGAAAAATATTTTTAAAGGATGAAACAACTCCTCAAACGCGGATTTTTAAAAAATTAATTTCAAGAATGAAACAGCTCAGCAGCATCAGTTGAAAATGTGCATATTCGGTTGACCACCAGAACTCAAGCGCCGGCCATGGTAATGTTGTGGGCCGCCAGAACAGCCGTGGAATCAGAATAAATGTCGAATATTATCGCGAAAATATTCTGGAGGTTGTATTGAAGCCTTGGGCACGCAAACATTTTGGCCGCAGACCTTGGATATTCCAACAGGACTCAGCACCATCGCACTCAGCACGCCCCACCCAAGAATGGTTACAAAATGAGGTTCCTCGCTTCATTTCCAGCGCACAATGGCCACCAAAATTTCCGGATACCAATCCGTTGGACTATTGTGTCTGGGGTATTTTGGAAAGCAAAGTTGGCACTAAAAAATACCAAAATGTCGATCTCCTCAAGCAAGCGCTTCGCCGGTAATGGGCCAAAATACCGCAGAGCAACATTCGGGCAGCGTGTGACGGTTTCATTGGCCTTTTAAAGGCCATAATTCGTGCCAAAGGTGACCAATTCGAACAAATTCAAACTTTTTCTAAATGCTTTGATGCTATTTCCGAAATTTTTTGCTTTCATTCAATATTTTTTTTTGAAAAAATGTAAAAATTATGATTTTTTACTTTATTGCAGTTTTCTCACCCTGTACTCTGTTATGTCAGGGCCAAAAAATGTAATTTTTTTCAAGAACCAACTATTTTGGATTTCTTTTAAAACTATTTTTGCAATGATGAAATATGCCTAAACTGCAATATTTCCAATATTTATTTCGTTGCAATTAAAACACTTTAATTTTTTTTCTTAATTTTAATTTATTCTTTTTTACATCTTAATAAATTTGATTTATCACATTTTCAAATGCAATAACTTTTTGTAACAAAAACCCGCCCTAGACTATAAATTAAATGAACGAATGAGCGATGATGATGAGATGCTAAAAACGATGAGATTAGGCCTAGAATTTTAATAATCGACTTAGATTAAAATAAACATTTGGTATTTTGGTTTTTTTTTTTGTGGTTCTATAAAAATCTACCCTTAACCTAAAAGTGAGAGAGAGGGAGAGAAATGCACCTTTAAAGGGAGCATGAAAAGAATATCACTTAAATGCTACATCTGTGACACACAGAGAAAATAAAGAGAGCTAGAGGAGGAGAGAGAGAAAGAGATAGTCTCATTCTACTAAACACAAATGCCAGCCTATCAACTGTCCATTTCCAGACTGGTATCACATTCTTCGGACGACGTCACTTCACTTGCAGCCCGCTGCTCCTCGTCCAGACACGAACGCCACGCCTCATCATCGCCCTCCAGATGGGATATCACAATCGGCAAACTTCGACGCGGACCAAATAAATCTTTGTTACTGCTAATATCTTTGGATTCTAAATCACTGGATGGAAGTTTTTCATCCTCCTCACTGGGCAGGGTATTGATCTCCATGTGTTGGAGATAACGTTTATTCCAATGATCCCGGCATGGTTTCCACAGGGCCACAATGATGCCTAATAAAATTAGTATGATTCCCAAAATATCACAATAGAGAGGGAAATTGTTCAGGAGACGTAGTGTCATCGCCCCAAAATCAGAGACTTCCATTGTCATGTCGAACCAGGCGACGGGGAAGGCAAAGTTACGTTTCGTCGGAAAGGATCTGTAAAAGACCAAAAAAATAAAAATATGCCTCAAATTAAAATAATAATTTCTGAAAATAATTAAAAAAAATATTTTTTAAGGACCTTAATTTTTTCAAGGACCTCAAAGTCGTCTCAACCCACCTTATATGCGTTGTGGGCCTTATGTAAATATTCAACTGCAAACGCCCCTGCAAATTCATCACAAGCCCCGTTCGTGGTTCCACAATAATATACGTTTCATGTGCACTCCTATTGGGCGCCATTCCCTCCACCCCATTCGCATAAAACGGATCGGCATCCATAAAATGTGGTTTCGATATCAGAATCGGTAGACCATAATAACAGCTGCTGATATTGAATACCCCGAACGGCATACATTCACCATCGCAATAACATTTCGATTCGGGGTACGTTGTACCATTATCAAAGGCACTCGGCGAAATTTTATAACGAAAAGCCCGTACACCCTTATAGTATACCTCGCTGTCATAGTCCGCCTTTACGGCTCGACAAAAATCCGTAAAGAAATACTCAATTGATTCGTATTTTTTCAAATTGGTCTTCTGAAATTCACCCGGCGAAGCGTGAATGGCATTGCAGCCGTTGCTAAAAGCTTTGGTGCGATTTTGACCCTTCCACAGGAGAAGTTCGCCGAGTTTGGTCTTATCACCGACTCCGGTGTGTATGCTGTGCGTTCCCAGGAAGTCGGTGGAGCCATTGCGCTGTGGGGGGAAAAGAGCATAAATTAAAGGAAAGAGTATTAATTAAAGAGGAGCAATTAAGGTTGGAAAATAAGAAAAAAAATTTCAAAATATATTTTTGTATAAATGTTCCAAATATGTTTTAGGGGAATATAAGTGTGAGGAAATGATATAAGAATATACTTTATTCAAAAAATTAAATTTTTAAAATTTTTTAATTTTTTGTGGTTTCTTTAACAATTACTTTTTTAATTTAATTAATAAAAGTAATATTAATTTAATTTAATTTTATTTTTCTCTATCTACTTACAGCATAGGCATAACCAATCCGATCCCATGGCATAAAAACTCCCAAGTTATACCGCAGCGATGCTGGCAGTACGGCCAATAGATTGACAATTTCATCATTGAATCCCCTGAAAAAGAATTCATCAGCAGTTCTTGTCCAGACAGCTCCATTTTTATAGAATTTCAAGGCCATATCGATAACCGTACGCATCAGGTAAGGCCAATGTCTTGATTTTGCAGCAGCACCCTGTAAAATAAAAAAAATAATTTGATATAAGAAAAACAGCAAAACACTACCTATGTGTCCTTTTTCCTTGATTTTGTAAGGCAACATCGAATTTTGAATTTTCCTTCAACAAAATGTTGAAACGAACTCTTTACGCGGAATTTGACTTACAGGTTTTAACCTTTCTGTTATTCCTCCTCAAAATTCATATTTTTTTAATTTCGCGAATTATGTAAATCTGATTCCCTCATAATTAATTCTAAAGTTAACGCTAGAAGACGTCAAGAATTGCTTAAAATTTATTTTAAAAATTCGGGGTAAAAACGTTGTCATGGGTGCTTTTAAATTCATTTTAAAAATCGACGTAAAGAGGTCGTTATTAGTCTCCAAAAAGTCATTTTGAAGTCAACGTCAAGAGGTCGTCAATAGTTCCATAAAATTCACTCTGAAAGTCCGCATTAGAAAGTTGTTATGATTCTATTGATTTAATTAATTTCGAGAACACGCTTTCATAGGTATCCAAAAATCCACAGGAGTCCTTCAAAACTAATTTGGAAATTTCTCGTGGAAAGTTCTCATGGGTTCTTTAAAACTCATTTTGAAAACCAACGTTAAGATGTCGTTATGAGTATCTCAAAATTCCATTTTAAAAACCAGATTAAGAGGTCGTTTTGAGTCCCTTAAAATTCAATTTTAAAATTCACGTCAAGAGGTCGCAATCAGATCTAAAAATTATTTTTTTTTAAATCCACGTTAAGAGATCGTTTTAAGTCCCTCATTCATTTTGTCCCTCATATCCTGAGTTCCTCAAAATTCATTGCGTAACCCCAGATTGTGAACTCAAATATGAATCCCTCAAGAAACATTTTAAAAATTTACGTTAAGATGTCGTTATCAAGAGGTTATCAGTTCCTCAAAATTTAATCTGAAAAATATCGTTAAGAGGTTATTAGGCTTCTCTTTAAACTCATTTGGAAAAGCAGAGTCCTTTACAATTCATATTTTAAAGTCTATGCTAAGAGGTCCTTATGCATCATAAAAAGTCCTTAAAAATTCCTTTTGAAAATCCACATAAAGAGGTCGTTGTGGGAAAATCCACATTTTTTTAAATCCTCATTAATGGTTGGCCATGATATCTTTGATATTAATTTTTAAAAAATCCACATTCAGAGGGCGTCAAGAATTGCTTAAAAACTCCTTTGAAAATCCACATTAAGAGGTCATCATGAGTTCCCCAAAATTCTCTTTGAAAATACATGGTACGAAGCCGTTTTGAGTCCATTAAAATTAATTTTGTAAACTCTCGTTAAGATGTCAATATCAGTTTCTCAAATTGATTCTGAAAAATTACGTTAAGGGGTCGTTAGGAGTCCTTTAAAACTCATTTGGAAATCTCACGTAAAGATGCCACTATGAGTCGTCAAATTCATAATTCACGCTAAGAGGTCGTTATGCGTCGTAAAGAGTCTCTTAAAATCCACATTAAGAGGTCGTTGTGAGTTCCCCAAAATTGAATTTTGATAATCCACGTAAAGATGTCATTATGAATCGTTAAGAGTCCTTAAAAAATTATTTTGAAATTTCACTATGAGTCTCAACAAATTTTAAGATTTCCGAGTCAAATATCGTGGAATTTTCAATGACTTCCTGAAAAACTGGACTTTTAAAAAGTTTTTTTTTTTTAATTTTAGATGTTTTCAAGAACGTTCTGATAAAAATTATGGGTCTTCAAGAATTTAGTTTCAAAGAAAACATTTTCAGTGACTTCCGAACGACGTTAGTGGATTTTTATTGACTTCCTGGCAAAAAAAAATTTCATTCTAAAAAGCCTCTATGGCCAAAATTGGTTAGAGTTTTAAGGACTCCCTAAATATTTTTTTTTTAAATTTTTTTCTTATTGGTTTGGAAAAAATTTGAACTTTTTAAAATTTATTTTAAAAAAACATTAATTTAGTGACTTTCTGATCAAAATATAAAAGTATATTCAATGGACCTCCCGCCGGTCGTTCTTGATAAAAATTAAATATATTTGGAAATACATTTTTAATATTTTATGGCTAAAAGTTGTGTATTTTTTAATATTTATTAATTTATTTATTTATTAATTTGAACAAGAATCGAGTACTTAAAAAGAACTGATTTTTTTTTAAATTTTGAAGAATAGAACAGTTTTGATTTTTTAAGGTTTTTGGATTTTTTGAACAATATTTTTAAAATATACCATAAAAACATCGTCAATTCTGCGGAGATTTCCCGGTAAACATGATACATATGTTTCAATGATTTCTTTCCAAAAAATCGAAGATTTTTCAAAAATTTAATGTCGAAATATTTTGCTCTAAATTTTTGTTAAAAAACTTTTTAGTAAAAATGCCAGTAAAAAAGGTAAATATTTTTCAAGGACCTTCCGACAGAAATTGATGGTGTTTTCTAGTACTTTTTTAGAATAATTTCAGAGGACTTCCTCTAAATGGATTTCTCAAGAGCATCATGCCAACATAATCCCAAATAATATTCAATTTTTCAAAGATTTCATAATAAACGTTATGAATATGGACTTTCCTGGTAAAAAAAATTAAAACAATAATTTTTCGTGGACATCCTAAAATCAGCCATTTTTCAAGACCTCTTATTAAAAAAATTATGGAATGTGTTAACAGACTTCCTAAATGAAAATGTCCCATTTCTTAAAAAATATTTTCCTCATAAATTTTTAAAGAATGTATTTTTTAGAAGAAATATTGATTTTTTCGAGGATTTCTTGATAAGCACATAGATTTGGACCAATAATAGTGGATTCTTGAAAAACTTCGTAGCAAAAAAACATGGATTTTTATAAGATATGTTGTTTAGAACCTCAAGTTTAAAAACTCCAAATAAAAATACTTCTCCATGGACCTCCCGGCCGAAATTTATAGATTTTTGGATCTTATTGGTAAAAAATCAAAGATTCTTAAAATTCTTTTTGAAAGATTTCATCCCTAAATATCACAGACCTTCATGGCTTGAAATCATGGATTTTTAAAAATTTTTTTAAAAGATTTAATGACAAAAAGTTTTGATTTTTTTTTTCAAAAAATCCTTACACATTTTTTCTTTCTTGTGGTTTAGTCCTTCTTTGCAAAAAATCGTAATACCATTAAAATACTTCATAGTTAAAAAAATTAAATATTTTTCATGGAATTCCGGACGAATATTGTCGATTTTTCAAATACCACTTGGTAGTGTCTTTTTCAGGCAAGAATCATTGATTTTTATAAAATACCTTTTAAAGGACTTTTTGGTACAAATAATATATTTTTTTTTAATTTTTCCATAAATTTATTCTCAAAAAAAATCGTTCAAAGAGCTCCTGTTAACAAAAATGATGAACTTTTACAAAATATTTTTTAATACTTCCGAGTAAAAAATGGGCCTACAAATTCAAATCGTGGATTTCATAAGGACATGTTTTCCCTCTGGCCTAAGAATAGTGGATTTTCAAGATTCTTTTAAGGAGTTCCTCACCAAACCAACCTAGAACATTTTATGACTGCCTTTTAAAAAAATCATCGATTTTCTAGAGAATATTTCCTGTGACTTCTTGTCATGATATTTTTTGAGATTTTTAAGGACATTCTAAAAAATAAAAATTTGTAAAAATCGTGAGTTTTTCATATAAATTTCTCAAGACCTCCTGGTACAAAATTGTATGTAAACAAAGGAAAATTCCTTTTTATGGACGTCCCGGCCGAAATTGATAGATTTTTAAGTATAAATAGCAATAATAACAATAAATATAAAATTTTTAGATGTTATATGAAGGATATTGTTGTTAAAAATTAGCGGATTGTTTAAGATATTTTGAAGATCATCTTGTCAAGGAGTCTTTTATTTTTCAAGGACATGCAAAAACAAAATGTTATATTAAAGATTTTTTCAAGGACTTCATGACAAGAAATCAAGGATTCTTCCCAAAATGAATCCATGTCAAGAAATTTTTGGTTTGAAAATATTTTTTTAAGGATGTTATGCCAAATAGACATATATCTTCCAAAAAATTTTCAAGGACTTTAAGCCAAAAAACTTATGGATTTTTCAAGGACATCCTGTTAAAAAAAAATTTAAAGAACTTCCAGGGGAGAAATTGAAAATATTTTGTCGTGGTCCTACCGGCAAAAAATCGTGATATTCTTGGTAATGAAATGTTATTTTTTAATTAACAAAGACATCATGTCAAGAAATCCGCAATCTAAAAATATTCTTCTATTTTTTAATTTTTTTTTTTTTCAAAACCATTTGAATGGTATCACAACATCCTGTACACCAAGGATAGAGGCGTTGACAGCAAAGGTCTTTGACCAAGACTCTCATCTGAAATTTCTCTACGCTACCAGTTCGTTTTGTAGCTTTTGATACTATTGGTATAATTTTATTTAGAATTCCATGAATCCTCATTTCACATCAACAGCATAGCACTCTCCAAATTTCGTACACTTCGTAGCATTTAGTACAATTTAGTACTTTTGGTACAACTTTACTTCGAATTTCACTAAATCCATCTTCACAAGGCCCCCACGCACAAACACAGTTCTCACAGTTCTAATTTCAGCACTTGGTAAAATTGAGCACAGTTCTACTTCAAGAATTCGTACTTTCTTGAAATCCGCCATGCACTTATGTGAACTTTTCTTCCTACCCATTTCAATTTTTTTTTCGGAAAATTCCCAAAATTATCATTCATAATATAATTTGTCTGAACTTACCACCATTAGGGCATTAATGGACACCAAGGTATCATTCAAGCCTAGCTTGGATCGTTCCGCATCGTAATGATAATAATGGATCTTGGCATAATCCATGGTGTGGTTGTTGTCATGCCATTTAAAGATTTTCTTATGCGGCACTTCAATGTAGCTGAAAGGCCCAACCTGATTGAACTTGGGCTTTGTGGACATGTCATAGAAATCTTCGGCATTTGTCCAGTTGAAAAAATAAAAATCCACCGTAACATTGACATCAGGTGTAGCCCACATTTTGGTTAGTTCGGCACCGGGACGTAATATCATTTGCTAGAAAAATTACCACTTTCAAAATATATTTTTATAATTTAAATATAATTCCATACTTACACTATCTATAAACCGATCGAGCAACGGTCTGGAATATATGAGAAAAAATCCGCCCAGGGCTATGAGTGAGGTACCCAGAAAAATATAGAAATATTTGACATATTTTCGGGTACTCTTCAAAATCATTGTTGATGAACGATGGGGCATTTTTGTGATGTTGGCGAACCGCTTCTACACCGGGCAGCTGTTGTTCTGGTCAATCTATCTGCAAGGCAAACAAAAAATGACAAATGGAGAAATTATTTTAAATGTTTTTATTTTTATTTTTATTATTTTTTATTGTTGGCATTCTAATGGAGTTCGAGCATTACGAGACGAAGACAGTAGTAATTAGTCAGTCGTCTTTATGGGAGATTAAATTGGGGCTGACATCGGTTTGTTCTATGCGGCCCCTAGAAGTCAGATTGTTTTTTTAATTTTTTTTTTGGTATTAAAATTACATTCACACAAACATATTCGAATCTTTATTTTGACTACTTGGAGTACCATTAAAAATCTACTTTGATGTATTTTGTTGGTGGGGGAGGGTCAAGTTGGGGTCAATAGTCAATATTAAAATGTTTAACAACAAAACAAACAAAATATTCCAAAATATTTTGAAACAGTGGTTTGGCTACTTTTTTTGGTGACGTAAATTTCTTGTTTGCATTCGACCGATTTCGATTCGATAAGTTTTAATTTGTTGTTTTAAAAATAGAATCAAGTTTTGTTTTCGAAAAGCCAAAATAAATGTCTTTTTTAATTGATTTCGATTTTCGTTTCAAAATAAATTTATGATCAAATCAAATCAAAATTATTTTGCATACATATCAGATTGAATTGCGTTTAACTGTCATTTTGAAATCTGCCATCATATGGGCAAAAAAAAAAACTCATTACCAAATAATGGATTCAATTTCACCACCACACTTAACATATTAACCCAGCAAACATTTTGTAGGAAGTTATGCCCCTTTCAGCACTGCTCGTAATGACAACTGCATACCTTCTGTATTACCAATATAATACCCGAAGCCATATAGCTATCATTTAAATGTTAAACATACCTCATCGAAATAACGGTTTTAGACCCTAGGTCTCTTTGGACCAAATCCGTTTCGGGAAATTTGGAGTTGATCTAGGGGTTTCCGTTCGTCTATCTGTCTTGCTGGTGGACACGATAACTATTGAAGGGGACACGATAACTCTTGAAGATTTAAACCAAACTTTATATATCGTAATATTTTTGTCAAACTTAGATCGAGTTCGGGGATGGGCAATATCGGTCTACTATTTCTGGTACCTCGCCCACAGAAGGTCAAAATTTTCAAAGAAAATAATTTAGCTTATAGAACAAGAAAGGATCACCCATTTGTTTTTGCAAAGTGTGGAAATTCTAATCTGTGTATCAAAGCTAGGTAAGTTGTAAAAGTGAACAAAATCCTTCCACTCCTTCTAGTACCTTCCCCACAAGGGGTCAAAATTTTGAATAATAACAGCGCATAAAAAATTTTCAATAAAGAGTCCGATTATCTTCATATATCGCATATCCCAATATTTTTATCAACTCTAAGATTTGTATGAAGATGGATGGATCGGACCACTCCTTCTAGTACCTCTCTAACAAGGGTAAAAATTTTGAATATCCATTAACCCACATAAAATGTAAAATGGCAGCCCGATTCTTTTCAAACTCGGCACATCCCAATACTTGAATCACCTTCATATCATTTACGAATTTGGGATGGATCGGAACACTCCTTCTGGTACCTCCCCCACAAGGGGTCAGAATTTTGAAAACCCATAACCCTCATATAAGGCAAAATGGCCATCCGATTCTTTTCAAACTTGGTACATCGCAATATTTATACCAACTCCAGATCTTGTGTAAAGATGGGGTAGATAGGACCATTCCTTCTGGTACCTCCCCCACATGGGGTCAACATTTTGAAAACCCATAACCCTCATAGAATGCAAAATGATCATCTGATTCTTTTCAAACTTGATACATCGCAATATTTTTACCAACTCTAGTTATTGTATAAAGATCGGACAACTTTTTTTGGTACCTCTCCCATAATTTTGAATAATTTTGAATATCCCTAACCCTCGTAGAATACAAAATAAGCAACCGATTCTCTTGTAATTTCACATATACCAATATTTCTATAAGCGCTAGATCTAGTATGAAGATGAAATGTATCGGGCCACTCCTTCTGGTACCTCCCCCACAAAGGGGTCAAAATTTTGAATAATTACGACTCTCATAAAATCCGAAATAAACATCCGATTCCTTTTAAACTCGGCATATCCCAATATTTATATCACCACAAGATCTGGTGTGAGGATGGTAGGTATCGGTCCACTCCTTGTAGTACCTCCCCCACAAAGGGGTCAAAATTTTGAATAATTATGACTCTCATAAAATCCGAAATAAACATCTGATTCCTTTCAAACTCGGCATATCCCAATATTTATATCAAGACAAGATCTGGTGTGAGGATGGTAGATATCGGTCCACTCCTTCTAGTACCTCCCTCACAAAAGGGTCAAAATTTTGAATAATTATGACTCTCACAAAATCTGAAATAAACACCTGATTCCTTTCAAACTCGGCATATCCCAATATTTCTATCACCACAAGATCTGGTGTGAAGATGAAATATATCGGTTCACTGCTTCTGGTACCCCCCCCCCCCCACAAAGGGGTCCAAATTTTGAATAATAATAACTCTCATAAAATCCGAAATAAACATCCGATTTCTTTGAAAATCGGCATAACTCAATTTTTCTGTCAATACGAAATCTGGTGTGAAGATGACACATCGTGGTTCACTCTTTCAGGTACCTCCCCCATAACGGGTCAAATTTTTGAATAATTATGACTCTCATAAAATACGAAATAAGAATTCGATAACCTTCCAATTTCACACATCTTAATATTTCCGTCAACACAAAATCCGGTGTGAAGAGAGAATATAATGGACCACTCCTTCTGGTACCTTCCCCACAAAGGGGTCAAAATTTAGAATAAAGATGACTCTCATAAAATGCGAAAAAGGTCTTTGATTCTCTTCAAATTTCACACACCTCATTACTTCTATTAACAGAAGATCTGTTATGAAGATGGAATGTATCGGTCTATTCCTACTCGTACCTCCACTAGGGGTCAAAATTTTGAATAAGAATGAAGGTCATTAAATGCGAAATAAGCATTTGATGTTCTTCAAATTTCACACATCCTAATATTTTTACCAGCAAAAGATCTCGTGTGAAGATGGAATATATCGGACCATGCCTTCTGGAACCTCACCCACAAAGGTTCACAATTATACAATACTTATATCTCTCATAACTTGTGACTTTTTATATCCTACACCACAGGGTGGTCAGGTTATTATGTCTTTGTGCATTTGTTTGTAACAGGCAAAAGAAAACGAGATAGATTTTTTACAAATCATTCGTTTGGCCTAAGGACGAACCCTATTGAAGATAATCGGTCGAAATTTTTATCGATTCAGAGGAGGATATTCCTCTCATATACTGGTTACTTTGGACTTTAAATTATGTCTATAATCATAGTTAATATCATTAAATTCTCGCAAATTCCGGATAAAAACTTTTATTTGTTATATGAAGCTCTACTAAATATGCAAATATGGTGTAGGGTATAAAAAAGTCTCTCAATCAGAGGGACGTGAACACGGAATTTATCGGTCAACCTCTTCTGGGAACTGCCCCACAAAAGGTTTAATTTTTGATTTTCAATTATTCGCATAAAATTGGAAACCACCCGAATTTAAAATTCTATGGTTGTATATAAGAAAATTCTGACTATCAATGACAATTACATACCCTATGCATTACCAGTAAACAAAAAAAAAAATAGCTGCAACATACGTTCTGCCTTACCATTGAGCTAAAAACAACAACTTTTTTTATTAAAAATTTAAAAACTCGAAAATGTCTTCCTTTTGTCTTACCAAGTAATGTGTAAAGGTGGCTCAGAGTAAGCACGTCCAACTACATAATCTAAAGTTACTGGTTCGATACTTCCCGCCTAACATTTTAAGCCGTATCATTGCACTCTATGTACATGGATTGATTCCGATTTTATATTCCAATAATCGCATAAAGTGTTGTTGCTACTGTCGTGGCGTAGTTCCCCTTAAAGAGGATTTAATATTTTTTTGAAAAAAAAAATCTCTCGTCTATAAACGCCTGTCGTTGACACAAACAATTAAATTTAAACGAAGGGTTAACAAATGTCGATTTATTTTTTCACCCTCTCTCTCCATCTGTGTGAAGTTGCCCGAGGTGGTTAATCTCCTCCAATTAGAATTATAAGGTGTAAATGGGCCGCCATCATCATTTGTTTTATTAACGCTATAATAATTGTCGGTGATGTTGCTGTTATTGTTGTTGGCTTTGGGAGCTTTTTTTTTATTAACAAATAAGAAGCAATTATGGTTGGAGTTCGAGTCCAACCAAGAAAAAATTCACCGAATACGATTTATGATCAACAGCAACGGAAAAAAATAAACAAAAGCAGTCAGCTATTATTATTTAATAAAGTTGTTATTTAAAAATGTTAAATTAAATGGTATATTACAACATTGCGAGTAATATTTGTTATTTATTAAATTAATTGTAACAGTTATGGACAAATGAAAATGACGTAAATTATTTCACGGAAGAATATAAAATTGAACTGGACCAGAAGTATAAAAAAACGAGAGGGATTTCCATGGACATTTCTTAAGTTCTTGGAAAATAGTTAAAACGAAGTAAATGGTACCGACAGATAAAAATATTGGGATTTGTAAAATTTAAGAAGAATCGATCATGTATATTTAATTTTATGCGAAAAATCAATTCTCAAAATTTCAACCCTTTGTTGGGGGAGGTACGAGAATGAAGTAAAAATGAGATTAATAAAAATAAAGTGAAATGAGAGATATAAATATTGAAAATTGCAACCCTTCGTGGGGGAAGTACCAGAAGGTGTGGCTCGATATCTATCTTCATACCAGAAAAAATATTGAATAAAATTGAAAAAAAAAATATTGAAAAAAATATCAGGATATGTAAAATTTGAGGAGACTCAGATAACTATACCTCATTTTATGACGTCTAAGGATTGGTTATTCCAAGTTTTTACCCCTTCTGGGGAAGTTACAAGAATTGATACCTATCGTCTTCACAACAGAGCTAGTATAAATAATAAAAATATTGGCATCTATGAAATTTGAAAAGAATTGAATGTTTATGTTGCATTTCATGAGCGTTTTGTTATTCCAAAATTTGACGAATTTT